AGTCAAGGAAACGCGTTGTTCACACTGCTATTTTTTGTATTATTTCATGCTTGGGATGAATAATATCTTAAATAACAAAATGTCCAATGTGCTGCCAATTAATATGTACCGTCTTATATTTGCAGCATTATTTACTGTGTGTCTGTGTTTGTATGAATTTGATATGTGCATCACTTTCAGCTATAACTCAAAGGCTGAAACTGCTATATTGAAACCCAGACTGGATTTGATTTAACAGGGTTTCTCTCCCCACTTACAGTATGTAATGACCCCTATCTTTGCTTAGGTGGTCGACATAAAAGAGAAACTGAAGCTGTCAAAGAAATGTTGGTCCAACCTGCCCGAGGCGATGTGTTCGGAGGACAGAGTGACCGCTGGAAATGCCAGCGATGAGGACTGCTGGAATGGACACACCAAGGGCAGGTGAGTGCACCAAGCCCGGGGCTAATGCAGGCTTAAACAAAAGGTTACTTCAAGTCCAAAGTTTGTTCAATTCAGTCTAATCGGACTAATCCTAGAAATAATAACCAGATTTGAACCTTATTTAAACAAAGCTGTGCAAGAGTTTGGCCTAGTTTGACTGTTATTCATCAACCAATACAATAGGAAGTGACCTCTTTGGTTTGTATTCACCCTTTACTTTATATTCAAATGTACTTTTTAAAAGGCTTTCTGCATTTTTGTCAGTGTTATATTTTGGAATTGTATATGTTTTCATTCGTTAAAATGTAGCATGGTGCTTCCCTGTTGATCTGATTTCATGTTTTGAGGGAAAAAGTTGCATGAGCTAACTAAATTCCCACCGCCATGGCTGATGTCCCAGGTAATAGATTTTTGCGACCTTTATCCATACCATCAGCTGTATGATCAAAAATATGTCCTGCTTTAATGGTTACATTATTTGAATGACTCTAAACCTGGTGATTTAATCCTGTAGATTAGTGTTGGAATTGGCTGGTATTGTCTGTGAAAAAATAGATATATGACAAAATAAATGATGCCCAGTGTTCATTAAATGTTGCATAACTCACTGAGATGTCAGAGGTTTGTTTTAGCCAGGGTGACCTGGGCTTATGGAGGGAAATGCTGTTGGGCAGCAGAATTTGTGAAAGGCCCTCACATGATGGCCTGCTGCTTATTTATCAGACAGGAGCGCAGGCAGCTGACGTGCTTACTCTGAAGAAATATATTACAAGTGTGTCAGAACATGACCCTCACAAGAAACATTACATTTAGGATATATTTCACCAGCACTGTTCTAACCTCTGAGAGCTGTTCTCAAATCTGTGAGAATTAGACCTCCAGTTTGAAATAATATTTATGTATCAGTACCCTTAGCCTTTCTCTAGTTCTTATTGACTTCAGACTTCTGATCAAGATAATTCTTTGCACGTGAGAGAGCTCAGACTCCATAATCCTTTTGTCTAGTGGTCAGTGTACTCAAGTATAATCCATTCTTCAAAATTAGAAAACTAGTTTTGTTGTTTTGCTTTAAACAGAAAACAGGCCAGTTTTTTTTTGCGTAGTTAATTCACATTAAAAAGTAAAATAGTACAAATTAAGAGATTGAACTGAAATTAAAATAATACTATCAAAATAAAAGTGTTAAGTGTTATTGACAGGAGAACATTGACAGAAGGCATTTAAATACCCTAACCAGTAGCTTCATATCAAGCTAAAGTTAGCTAGTAAGTTTGATGTATAGAGATATTATATTTATTTGAGTGGAATTAATTCATATGTGTTACTATTATACATATCCCTGTTTCATATTCCCTACCCAAGTTAAGAGCATTTATAAAAATCCCCAGCAGAGGTCGCCATTTCCAACCATGAAGTTATAATATTAACATGGTTTCAAATATTATCTGACCGAACTTCATTCCCATATGAAGTGTATTAAAGTTCCTATTTCAGTTTTAAATGTCCTCTCAAAAGTGTATAAGCATGACTTGACCATGACTTGACCATGACCAGATGTTCCCTCACTTGTTTTAAATGTTTCCACATCCAGCTACAAGTTTAGACCAATAACCACATTACATGTTTTCTCCAATAACCTACTATATTTGACATTTTTCTGTTTGTGTTTTTGACATTCTCTGCATTTCTTATTACATATACTATACAACAACTTTTTGGGGGACATACTATGGATTATTTATGTATTTGATGTGGTTTACTTTACCATGACATTTTTTGTAACAATTAGATTAGCTATGACATAAAAAGTTCATAATATTGTATCTCAGTACAACAAATACTACTATACATACTTCACCACATACTATACTATCATCTTTTGCCAAATATTCATAGATTTTTGTATTTTTTACCCTACTTTACTACAACTATATTATGACATACTATACCATGACATTTTTCATGACATGCCTTATTCAATACACAAGGGAAAGTGAAAGTTACACCAAACCAAAGCACTAAACGTTTTTTTCCAATGTGTTTTTCAATGTTTTTGAACATTTAAAAAAATTGTCAACAAGCAAGTCTTGTGTTTTTCACTGGAAAGGAAATGATAGACCAATTAAGTTATTTTCTCTTTGACACTCACTGGATTCCTTTTCCTTTTAACAAGCCACATTATGTTTATTTTATTTGTTGCATTTTTTCCCTTAAAAGGTACTTTCCTGAAGTCCAAAAGGATGGACTCACCAACCAGGTGAATAACCCTGAGGTGGCTGTGGACATCACCCGCCCTGACACCCTAATCCGCCAGCAGATCATGGCTCTCAGGGTGATGACCAACAAGTTGAAAAATGCCTACAACGGCAATGATATCTACTTTCAAGACTCAAGTGAGCAATTTGTCCCTTTCCCATTCACACACCTGACAACATGCTACTTTTTGTATTAAGGCAGGAAATGTTTTTTTTGGACCTGACTGGTCAAGTGCATACTTCAACTTGTCACTCATTTTGATAAACTGTTAACTTTGAAATAGTACCTAACCTTGAGGTGGAAGTAATCGACAGAAGTAAAGCCACAAGAGGCACAGAGGGAGTAAATAACAGGCAGTGTGTCGAAAAACACAGTCAATGTCAAAACGGTCAAAGAAAACCTGATGAAGACAGAAATAGAAAGATTCACAGTGTGAATAAAACACTAACATATTATCACTTGAATTTGATACAGAAAATGTTTATCCAACTCACAGAGACCAGCTTTACTGTACACTTATTTGCGAAATTGTGTCTACTTGATAAAGTCCCATTATTAGTCTCCTCTTAGCTCTGTTTTGGTCATCACCAATTCTTGAGCAAATATATCGATCTACAGTATGCTTGCCTCTGACTCTGTCTGCCTGCCACTTGTTGCTTGGCAGAGGGTGAACAGTGGGTTTATCAGAGCTGCGTTTGAAAAAGACGTAGATGAGAAAATTGAGTTTTAACCAAAACAGAAAAGCCAAAACAGTTAGCTTAAAGACACTAAAATGCTTTGTTTGCACAATCTTTTGAAACTGGACCTAAAAACCAGATAGCTAGAGCATTCACTCTTATGCGTCAGAGGCTTCAATCTTTGGCGTAATCACATCGTCAGCTCGGATGAATTGTTGACTATTGTTTACATTTCCAGTGGTGTACTCAGTCTGCTTGTGTTTTGTTCTGGTGTTGCAGGTGATGAAGGCAGCGGCTCAGGCAGTGGCAGCGGCTGCACAGAAGCCTGCCCCACAGAGGCGGGCGGTGCTGCCTCAGAGGCCCCGGTGGTGGAAGCTGATCGGCGCGGGCCAGTGGACGACTCTGCCCCGCTCCGAGCTCCCTCTGTAGCGCTGCCAACCATTCTGGCCCTCTCAGCCCTGGCACTCCACCAGCTATGGAGATAATGCTGGAGGAACCGGCTAAACATGGACAGCAGGGTTTTATTTTATTTTTGCAGTTTTTGTATTCGGGCAGATTGGAGCTACAGTCATGCTGCCAGCCTCGAGGCTAGAAGAGTCTGCTCTGAAAAAGAGAGCAGCCATGCATCGTGATTTCCCACTTTCCCAAAGATCGTGCAGTGCCATCCTTAGACTTGACATTTGATGGCATCACCTCTCCATCTAACACTGATGCCGACCCAACAAACTCTGCTTCAGAGATTTCTTGCACATATGGCAGGTATTAATGTAGTTCTCCATGTGGAAAAATATAACACGCACTTTGATTGTTTTTCTTTTCTTTTTTATGCAAAAATTGTTTGTGTGTTGAAAAATGTGGTCACATAAGGTAACATCATATTTTAAAACCAAAACAGTGGATAATGACAGAAAATGAAGGAACATTTCTGCCTCAAATTTTAATTGAATCCTTGTTCCATCGCCATTAAATCATGTGCCAATTATTGATTTTGGATGTTTTCATCATCATATATCCATGTTTGTTTTTAGAACAATCGTGTTGCTTAATCTTACTGAATCGTGTTGCTTAATCTTGTGTTTCACAGTCATTTCAACCATGGTGTTTGTTAGCTTAAGCGTATCATTGGTTTGTCATGGATCTGCTCTGTTCAACAGCCGCCTTGTGCTAAACTCACATTTTGTTAAAAGGGATAAGATTGACATTTTTGTATACTAATTTCCCTTGCAAAAAATTACAATCTTTAAAACATTCTGATATAATGCTGGTTTGTGTGCTTGTTTCAGGAGTTAACAACCTGGACAGAATGCTAACAGTTACTTACAGACAGAAAAGGTCCCACCAGTGTAGAGTAATGATGGAAAACACATTTGAATCCACTCCAATATATAATGATTGATTCATAATGTCATGGTTTTCTTTTTTACTATATTATTTGAATTTTGTCTCCATAAAGATAGTCAGCCAGTGTCAGCATTCAACAATTATTCACAACATCATTGACCGGTAAGCATACCTCTCAATATGAGGTACATAAATTATCCATTTCATGTCTTTAGATATTTAAACTATTCTAAACATACCATGCTGACATTATAAATGCCTTATAGGCACAATATTGGAAAGTCATGACCTGGACATTGCCTTATAAAGGGCACACCCAGTCAATACAGAATCACTATCACAGGTGGAAATCTTGCACTGCTTGAATCTTGAAATTAACTTAAATTAACTTTTGGTAACATTTTCTTCGCCATCCTCAGAATACTCTACAAATATCTTCACAAATATTACACATTTTTAAACTTCAAGAAATGTTTAATATTAATATACAGTAACAAAAAGAAGGCTGAAACTGTTGCATATGTGATAATAGCCAAAGCGTATCCTGTAATTGATTTCACAGTTTGGATTAAAATATGCATTGTGTTTATAGCTCTACAAAACTGACATACTGTAAAACAGTAGTAAAAACAAGTGTTGCTATTTCTGCATATATATTAGCACAGTTCTTTAAAAGGTCAGACAATTATTAAGAAGTAGCAAACAGCACACAGTGGTTACTGGAAATGCAAAGAAAGGGCCCCTAAATGTATCTGTAAAGCTCGACTGGTTGTGTCTGCAGCACAGACAGGCTGGAAGCCGACCACAGTCACCTGTGAAATGAGAATCTGTGCAGAGCGGACAGGCCTGAACGCTCCGGTGCAGCTCCTCAGCAGAGCGAACTTACGGAGAATGTGAGAGGCCTGGCAGTGCTGAGGGGGAGGACAAAACCAGCCTGTTTGTTCTCTGAGAGCCAGCTCCATAACCACCAGGCCAGCTCAGCTTACATATCCCAGGAATTAACCAGTGTTCGCAGTATATCAGTGATTATTAGTTAAGCTTTTTCTTTATTGCAGTTTTATCCACATTGCAAGAACAAAAATATAGAAAAAAATGTGTCATTTAAAAGGATTCTTTATTATGGTCTTACAGGATGCCCTTTTTATGTTTTGTATCATTGAACTTTTAATGGTAATATTTTTTAAATAAAACTTAAAAAGTCAATGTCTGGTCAGAGAAATTATCTGACAAATAAAATGAGCAGGAAACACTTTAAGTCAACCTTTTTTTACAATCAATGCAATTCTGTATGAAGTTAAATACTAATGAAGGGACGTTTGATTGGAGTTTGATTCTTATTTCAAACTAAAAGGGGTGAATAACTAGTTCAGAAAATATGCCTTATTGTTTTCCAGTGCAATTAAAATGATTGCATTTGTGTTTTGTTACTGTTCTTGAGAATAAATATTTATTAAAAACATTCCAATATATTTGTATTTGTAGTGGCTGTTAAAAATACATTTTAAAATATAAATGTAAATTAGCTTTCGCTTTTAGACGCTCACTATGCTACCAAAACAGTTAAAGTAAACATTCATTTTGATTGGTTTTGGGAATTTTCTTTCTTTTTCAGATTCTGATTTAAGATTTGATTTAATATTTCAAAGTAAAATGTAAGTTAATATTTAGGGTTAATATTGTCCTTTTGCATCAGAGTAGGGCATACAATACATTGGCTGCTCCATTTCTTTCAGGTACGTAAAAGCATTGAAGTGTTTTTCAGAACAACGGAGGTCTAGGCTTCCTCCTCTGTGTACTTTCTATTTGTGAAGTCTGCTTTTATCAGAGGTTCAAAGCCTCTGTTTCTTCGTTGACGCAGGTAGAGCACGAAGATAAGAAGAAGCGCCAGGAGACCGATGAAGACTCCCCCCAGAGTAGAGCCCAGCACAAACACAGCCGGCCCTCCTTCTTCATCTGAAAACAATATAGCACAGGTGGAAATGTTCAGAGAACTATTTGCAGCAGGAAAACAAAACAAATGTAAATGTCAGTCCTCATGATAAGATGTTCAAAATTGTGATTTGATGAGGCTTATAATTGACAACAATTACTTAATGTTTCTCAGCTATTAACCTATACTTCAAAACTAACTTTAAAACCCAATTTGAAAACACTCAACTACCCAACAGAAAGGGCAATGCCTTTCACAAACATGTATTCTCAATCTTAAAAAAAAAATGTTGGTGTTAAAGAAGGATATATTATATATTATAATATTTTACCAGCTATCTCATAAAGATTAAAAACCTATTTGTCACTTACAGTATGAGCATAAAACAATTCTGAGATTGAACTAAATTATAGCCTTAAAGTCTTATCTGAGCTCAGGTGGAATTTAAAACGTTTAAAGAATCTTGATCTGATTAAACAAAGACAAATTCAGTAAACAGTTTAATTGGCAGACTTTAGGGGTGTAAGTAAGCAGATTATGTTACTTTTGGATGGAGCCATGCTAGCTGTTTTCCAGTATTTGTGCTAGGCTAATCCAGCCTCATATTCAACACACAAATACAGTGGAGCTGATCTTCTCATCTAACTTTGGAAAGAGAGTGAATAAGAGTATTTCCCAAAACAGTAAAAACTTGCTCACCATCAAGGGCAAGAGCATAAGAATATCCCAGCTCCTCAGATGCAATATAAATCTCCTCGTTGGTGATGGGAGGAAAGAAAGGAACCATGTTGAAGTCCCTGTTGTGACCAATGGGGGCCATCTCATCGGGGTAAGTGGCGTTGGATGGAACAAACCTTCTCATCCACTCGTCAAAAATGGCATCAGTGAAAGCATGGAGCACCTGCGAAATAAACAACAAAAGAAAGTGAAACCGTGGTGATTTCAAGGAAAGAAAAATCCAATGTGTCCTTTCAGAGCGAACCATGAAATCAGATTCTCACCAGAAATATGGGGTCGTTTGCTGCAGAATGAGACAAAGCGCTCGTTCCATTCAGCATGGAGTGGACCAGGTTGTGAAGGTTATTGACCGAATCATCCAGTTCACCATCTGGTTTCTCGTACCCTTCCAGAGCATTTCTGTGGGTCAGAAAGCACAAAGTCTGTTGGGTTTTGCAAAGAAATAGCAGGTATACACTTAAAATGATAATTGATAATACATTTTTGAGTTTAGTACCTAAAACTGAAGGATGAGTTGGTGAAGTATGGAGGGCTGTCGAAGTCTCTGATTCCCAGACAGCTTCTGACGTCGGTCATGGTGGGCAGAGACGTGTTTGCCTTCTCCATTATCCCTCTCTGAATGAAACCCTCACTGGTGCCATTACACAGAGTCACGAGCTGATTGTACTCATCCAAACTGGAAATGAATCAAATGAAACATTAAAATGTGATTTCCAAAACTAAAACATGCATTAATGTGCCCGATTGTTTCATCATTATCAAACCATTAATGATATAGTCTGTTTACTCTCCCATCATGCTTTTGGGCTTACTTGTCACACACCACGCCCCATCTGGAGAACCTGGACTGGTTGCTGATGAGAGACGGGTTTTCTGGGTTCCGGCCCCCCAGCAGAGAGTCGGTGCACACGTCGCACTCACTTTGGCCTGTGGCAAAGTTCCAGTACGGGATCGCAAAGTTCTCATTGCCGGTTAATCTCTGCAGACAAATGTTTTGATATAAATTTACATTATTAGTAAAAAAATGTATTAGGGTCATCAACATCAACACTTTTGACGGTCCTTACACAAGCCCCAACAACTTCACATCACTTCAATTTAGATCAAGTCAAACACTTGATATCCTCTACTTTTCTCTCGCATTTTTCAAATGTTGGACCAATTGTCTGATTCGTTAAAATCTTCAACATTGACAACAAATTATAACTAACTTGGAAGGACAGTATGGGACATTCAGAAACACTTGTTTTTGATGTGAATAACATATATTTAAGGCCGGTAGCCTCCTCCTCAGAGTCACCTATCTGGAGCTGTGTATTCACCAAAGTGTTATTGAATGATAAACTAGATAATTGTGTTGTTACTTTAACAACTTGTAGAACGTTTTTTTTGTATTAACCTGTGGTCTGGAAACAACCTCCAAGATATCAGACACTGATATGCCAAGAATAAGTATAAGATAATAAAAGAAATTAACGATTACAAATGTCATGCAAAAATACACATGTAGGAATGCAAAGCTGATCACCCCAATGAGAATTATAGTTTACAGCGACAAAAGACTATTCACACCCAGTCATGCCAGAACAACACAACTTGTTTTCCAAAGTGTACACATACCTGTAACTCTCGTTCCAAGCTGAGGAGGTGATATCTGTGCCATGTGATGAAAGCTGGTCCTTTGTGTGAGAAATCAATGGCTTTGAATGGACGACCTGGACCTGAAGGGAAACAAAGTGTGTCGTGAGCTCTATGTGATCACAAGGTGACCTCATTATGTCACAAAGACATCATGCTGTTAAATATACTGTTATATGTAAAACAAACATTTGAATCCTTGTTAGAGCAAACATACTTTTGATGTATCACAAATCATTTCTATCATACAAATCCAACATTTCCAAAACTTTTCAGTGCGTTTTAAAAAATATGGATTAGGTCCAGACATCATAATAACTAATCATTTTGGAAATAGTAACAATAGTTTTAAAAGAAACGTGACCATGGTCTTTTACCAAGAAGCGTGTCCCGGACAGAGTAGTAATGCTGCCAGACAAAGAAGTCGTAGATGGAGATGTTAGTAAACTGGGGCTTGGTTCCATTTGGTCCCAGGAGTCCCAACCAGTGCTGGGTGGCAATGACGTAGTCTGGTTGGGTGGTGGCCTTAGACAGCTCCAGGACATTGAGGAACTCCTGGAGCTCTTCGGGGGTCAGGGAGTGGATGTTCTTCCTCACAACAGTAGCTTTCCTTTGGTCACAGTTTGGTCCGGTCCAGCCAAATTTGCACTGACCACAGTCATAACCTCCAAAGGTACCTGCAACACACAGAGAAAACTAACATATTAAATCATGTTGATGCTGTTTTATGTTCAGAATGAGCCATTTATGGAGTTAAATGTTTGAAAACATTGTGAATTACTCACCAGTACACCTGCAAGTCTGATTGAAGAATTTGGTGGGCCACCTCTCTCTGTCATCAACATTTCTCAGTCTGTACGGACCTCCCCAGGGTTTGTTGTCCACTCTAATAGCCGCGCAGCTTCCTCTCCCCGACAGAGAGCCGCACACATTGGCAGGATCTGAGCCCAGAGCGGGGCAGCACAGCTTGGACACAATCCCCTCCACTGTGCAGCACACTCGTGGAAACTGAGCATCTGCAGGCTCAGGCCAGAGCAGCAAACAAAGCAGACCAAGACCCAGAGCGTTCATCATATTTCACCAGTTTGTTTCCTCCAGTCAGTTGTGAAAAATCAGTTTGTACTTCAACTATCAGCGGTAATAAGGCCAATTAGTTCCTCCAGAAGAGTGTGGAATCTCAGTCTGCTACGGTCCCCCGTTGTGTATCTTCAAATTAGATTCAGTGATAGTTTTAAATTCTGTGTAAACAGCCAAATCATGTAGTGTTCCAGTGGGTTACATGCATATTAAGAAAGCCTGTGATTTCTGTTCTTGCTTAAATAGAGCTGAGGAGGATTAAGCCTTGGTCTTGTGATCATCACCTGACAGCAGAGCTGTGAGCTGTGGTCTGCACTAAGATCTGGATGAATACCAAGAAACTGCCTAAAGGGACTATAAAATAAAGTCACTATGTACCAAAAGACTTGAATGTTTGCAGTAATTATATGTAAAATGGCAAAAAGTGTAAAAAAAAGGAATTGGCAAATTAGTTCGATTTTCCGCCAACTGTGGAGACATTATTCAAATACAACAAAGAAATGACACACTAATGAATTTGTTGAACCATTCACAGCTATGTTAATACAATAACAGTTGGAAAAGTCCTCTTTGGGGCCAGAATAAATGGCCGGAACCCCTTCAGTAAATCAGTAATGTAAATTGTATGGCCGATTATCCTCTTAATCACACCATCAACTCAGATTGTTCATGGTATTGGATCTGATTATCTTTTTGTTCCATTAGTCAAATGTTTCGCCCAAAGGTGTCAGCTGACACCCTGTGATGTGCATGTGAGGCGATTAAAGAGCAACTTTAGCAATGATATGGTATTCTCTTTCAAACACTATCCATATCTTATATGCAGGGATGAAAAAGTACATAACAACAATACTGTACAGTTTTGATGCACTTCTATCTCCCTTCAATATTTTAATTAAACTAATACTTCTATTTTACTCCTTTTTACAGACTGGGGTTTTTCCGTTAAACAAGAAATAAGCTTCTACAACACAATACCTATACGATTAAACAACTGGTTCTGATGATTTGGCTTGTGTCCCTTTAAGACATAAGGCATTTCCCCTCTAAACTTCTCAGATGTTTTTCATTTACATTCAAGTCTAAGGAGGTAATAAAATCTAGATGTCTTCTTTATCCTGCCCCATTAACTTTCTTACAACTCCCCAGTTGTATCTGGTGATATATTACATTACATTTCATTTAGCTGACGCTTTTATCCAAAGCGACTTACAATTACCAATTACAGGGACATTCTCCCTGGAGTAACTAAGGACTAAGTGCCTTACTCAAGGGCACACTAGTGGTGGTGTTCCTGGCGGGATTTGAACTCACAACCTTCCAATCTTCAGCTCACCTCACTATCCATTAGACCACCACTATATATAAAGTCTTCACTGATGCATCAGTCTGAACAATCTAATAACGTCACATTATATATCAGTAATTGGAAGATTTGACTGTAGAGCAAGTGTTTATACTTTTGACACATCACAGTTTATCACATCACACAGCGATTCATATATCGCTGAAACCTTTGTTCTTTTGGGATTTGAATACCGGTAACGAAAGATTTAGTCTCAGGTAATAAATCAATCTTGTGTGTTTTTTAATTGTTTATTTAGTCCGATTGACTAAATAAACAATTAAAAAACACATGAATGCAGTCTATTCAAACTGAGATTATTTTTTTAATTGTTGCTCAGTGTGACATCAAATAACATTTTGTTTCATCAATCAGCACGGACATCTATATTACAGTGCATGCCTAATGAAACCTAAACAACAGTGAGCAGACCAAAAGGCTGTCTTGCTTCTTCCTAGAACAGAAACGCTAACAAACACCTTCTGTGGCAATAATTCCTAGAAAATGTGAGAATGAGCACTTCAGAGAATGACGTCAATGATGCTCAGAATTCATGAAAGGCTGCCATTTGAGCTAGTGTCGTGTTCACCGTCACCAGTACAGTTTGAAACTGAATTCAGCGAGGTGGACACGTCAAACACAACATTTGTATGGATTGTCTCTCTTGTATTATCACCAGTTTGTATTTAGTTGTTTCTTTGTGTATGTTTTTATTTTTGCTTTTATTCGTTTTATAAAATATCTTGTTCTCTTTTGAGTAATAAAGTAAATGTTAATTTAAGAAAGAGAAAGCAACCATACAAATTGTATTTATAAAAAACACAAAGGTGATTATTTTAATTTCCTCCTTTTCCTGATCTCAACCTTTACATGGAAATCCGTCACCACACACAGATTCACACTCGAGCATCCACACTTGTGATTTACAAGAAACATGATCACTTGTTCTTAACTTCCGTGTGAGGTGATGATCTCTGTGCGTGCACATGATTGTTGTCGATGCCTCTAAGTAATACTTAGCGTTTCACTTGTTTCTGTGAATCAGCCTTTGTTCAGGAGCAGGAGGTCTACTCATAAAGGAAGCTTTATAAAGGGACAAACTCCTGATGCCTTTTGACTGATGCTTTGCTGATGTCTGGCATGTGACCTCTGTATTTCACCAAGAGAAAGCCAACAAGAGTTCTTCACACACTTTTACTTGGAACGGTTGTTATGGAACTATAAAGTGAATTAACTGCTCATCATAACTCACCTCTTCATTTTTACACTCATAATTCAATCATATAAATGTATTGATTTTCAAGCATCGAATCATTCTGTCAACTCATATCCTATAAGAACATTATTTCACTGCAATTGCAAAGAAATGCAACAGTTTAACTTTTTTATAATAACAATCCTGGTTCTGTAAAACTATAAAGATATAAAATAACATTTTCTTTTTTTATGATAATGATAAAGAGTCCAAGTCTGAAACACCCTTACAGTATGAGAGTCGGCACATGGGACAGACGTAAACACGGCCTGATGAAGAAACTCATGTGTGATCATGTGAGGTTCACTGCTCTCAACAGGATTAGCAAGTGGAATTCCTGGAATGAGTCATTTCAATGTTTCTATAGGAATGATTTCACATTTATGTCAGAAAAATATCCTTAACTGTGTAACTGAGAGGGAAATGGATGCTCAGGTCAGTGTGACTAAAGAATTGAATAATGACTTGTTGTTCATCAACGTCATGGCCTGTCAAGGAAACGAAAATGATATGTTGTGTGTGTAAAAAAGCCTAACCCAAATCATCTTAAAGAGAGGATAAAAGCAAATGTTATCAAATTGACATTCATGCCTTCCTAAAAGGTAAGCAAACTAAATGAGGACAACAAATAAAACTATAAGGAATGCCGACTCTCTGGACACTTTCAAAAAACAACTCAAACCTTTGGCCTCAGCTAAAATGCAGTACCCAGCAACCTGTTCTTTTTCAAACCTGTGTATCTGTGTGACTATTATTATTTTGTTTGTTTTGTTTACCATTGTAAAGTGTCCTTGGGTCTCTTGAAAGGCGCTATAAAAATTGAAATTATTATTATTATTAAAACTAATTTATCTGATTCAAGATGCATTCCTTTGAATGCAGCACTTTCATGCTACACAGAGATTATGAATAGCAACTGATAGAATCAGTCATTCTTGTACAAAATTAGAACAGAAAAAAAAAAAAACATAATTTGCTGACATTAATATTCATAAAAACTGGATTAGTCACTTTTTGTGATAAAGCATCTTAGAGGTTTTTTTCAAATTGCTTGTTTTTTATGTTTCCATTTTATTCAATAGTTTTAGCCTTTACATGTTTTGTAAGGATATATAAACTCAATTCACTATATTTATTCAAAAATATTCAGAATTCCAATAACACTGAAATACACCAGTCATCTCTTGCTTAAGTATCAATGTCATTTTCAATTATCTTAACAAAAGGATTTTTCTCTCAGACATTTTGGTTCTTTTTGGTCTCTATTTTTATACCCAAAACTGACTTAAAAAATGTGTAAATGAACAGAATCCATTATCCCTCCTGAGACACAGGATGGTGCCAGAGAGCCATGAAGAGAAAGCCTTCTCAAATAGACGAATGGCAAGATGCTTGAGTGACTAATGTATTTAATGAAAGGAGTATGGGTTTCATTATAAAACATATTTTGTATTGAAATATCTGCTAATCAGTTTATAATAATATAAGAATAACTATTAACATCGTTTTATTATTAGCAAATAATGTTTTAAGGTGACATCAAAGATATTTTTATTATAAAAGAAACAAAGGAATCGTGGAAAGAAACATTTTTTATGAGCGTTTCACTTCTGAGGTATAAAACTCAATGCATCTATTCACTGTCTATTCATTTAGAGTTCCTCTTCTCAGGTCTAACATAAGGGTGATCATAATAGTGTGCTTCGAAGCAGGACAAATGAAACCATTCTCTTAATAGTCTTTCAAAGAGAGGTGATTATTCATTTGTTAAATGATATACCTGTTACCATGTGGATAAAGAAATGCTTCCATTTTCTTGACAGCTCTGTGGAAATTGCACTTAACACCAAACCCACTCTGCATACATTTTATAGGAATATCCCGTAGCGAAACAAGAGAAGGCCTTTTACATTTTTTAATTGAAGCCTCTTCAGTTACATTTACAGAGAACTGAGCTCAGTGTCCTGGAAACTGTCTAAAAGCAACCAATTCATATGTTTTTGCTTGATTTTGTTTGCTATTATTTCATTAATGATGTGTGACGTGAGCGACCACTCGACAACCCCTGGTGGGCTTTTGGTTTACTTCTCCATATTCATATTCCTTTTTTTTTGTTCTTTTAATTGAGCACTAAATGTAATGTGTTTGTGAAAATGCAAATCAACTAAACTTTTATTAAAATGAAGGAGAAGGGAGTATGGGTCATGACTCATGTCGCCTATCTGCTGTTTTGGTCCAATCATCTCAAGGAAACATCACATAAACACAAATATAAAATTATAAAAGAATAGGCAGCAAAAAAAAAGGTACATTTCAAAATAAAACAAGTAGTTTATAGCTAGTTTA